CTAATTTTTTTTTTCTTTATTTCCTTTCCCTCTTCAAAAAGATGTTTCTTAAGAACATTTGGCTTAATGGAGAGTTTGCAGCGGAATGTGCCTTGCCTTCCTTGAGGAATGAGGGCTGGCCCCTTGTTTTTCCCACTAGGGGTAGTTTTTTTTTACTAAACGTCTTCTCTGATAATGCATTTTTAACACTGTAGAACAACCTCACCTGGCGCACACTAGACACTCATTCTTTGTTGAACATTGTTGGATGAATCCAAAGTACATGGACGCATATGCCATGTGTTGTCACCACAGAACCTCTAGCAGTTATACCACGTGAGACAACCCTGAGACTCTGGAAAGAGCGGGAGGCCCGTTTCATCAGATCTGAGTCCAGTCGAGCATCAGACTACAGTGTGGGAAAGGAAACACCACAGAAACAAGGCTAGGTGTTGGGTGCAAGGTAGTAATGGCAGTGAACCCCTGAGCTGCATGCTGAACTTCCTGACTGCTGAGGTCCATTTTCCCACAATAGCCATGATTTAGATTGTGTCACTTCCTTGCTTAAAGATCTTGAAGCCAGGCATGGTGGAGCACGTTGAGGTCCCCAAAGAGAGCAGTTACCAAAAGCCTGTAATCCCGGCAGCTCAGAAGGCTGAGGCAGAAGGATCGTGAGTTCAAAGCCAGCCTCAGCAAAGGAAAGATGCTAAGCAACTCAGTGAGACCCTGTCTCTAAAAAAAATACAAAATAGGGCTGGGGATGTGGCTCAATGGTTGAGTGCCCCCAAGTTCAATCCCTGGTACCAAAAAAAAAAATTCCCTGGATATAATCTCTGGTCCTTGCGTACTCTACTACATTCTCTCCTGCTCCCTTCCCATGCTTCATGTCCCTCTTTCCTCCCTCCCCTCCCTCCTTTCCGTCCTTGTGCTGGTGATAGAACTTAGACCCTTGCCCATGCTAGGAGAATGCTCTGCCCCTCTACACCCCCAGCTCCCTTCATTCCTCTGGAGGCACACTGACCTCAATTCTGTTCCTTGAACAGGTCCAACTTGTTCGTGCCTTTGCACTGGCTGTTCTTTGAGGCTTCTTATGTATCTATAGTGTGGTTCTCTCCCCTCACCCAGTGTGGTATTTCCCCTCCGTATCACTGTTTTATTTTCCTTATAACAGTTACCAGTATCTGAAATCATTTCCTATTTGTTTGCCATCTTTCCTCCCACACTAGACTTTCTGCTCCATGAGAACAGGCCTGTCTTGTTCAGGGCTGGGGACTTGGTGCCTACCACGGAGCCTTCCTGCTTTGTATGAAGTGATGAGCAGGATGAATACATCAGTGTTTACTGTCTTCATGAGAAATCTGCAGAGAAGTGTTTCATAGGAATGTAAGGATTAAGGGACCTTGTAGGACTTGCTGTAGGAACCTTACAGGTGCTCTGCCTTTCCATGTATCACCCCTGCGTGGGACACCATGGCCCCTTCATATAGTGTGGACTCAGGATAAGTCTTGGGGTTTGTAGCCACCCTGCACAGGGCCCACTGGGTGACAGGCAATCCTTGTAAGAAAGGCTTTGTTATTTCTTTGGATCATTGGACCAGTGATAGGGTTGAGGTCCCCAAAGAGAGCAGTTACCAAAAGCCATGTGTCTGGCAAGGGCCTGGTGCCCAGGAGCAGGACCCTGTATTGGAAGACCGCCTGTCTGGGTAAGGCATCCTGTCCTGTGAATGGGGCAGTGAAGCCCCCCTCCTGCCCTGGGGGCTCTGGAGGAATCTCTCCTGCTTCTGGCTCTCAGACTACCTTTCTCCCATGTTAAGCCCTTAAATTCCTCCTTTGATCATCCTTCCTGGCCCTCTTGCTCCTGTGGAAGCCACCTAGACCCCGCCTCCCTTCCGCTCCCCCCCTCTGAGCTTTCTGCTGGGTGTGGGGTGCCGGAGCACAGGAGCAGGACCCTGGATTGGAAGACCGCCTGCCTGAGTAAGGCATCCTGTCCTGTGAATGAGGCAGTGGAGTCCCATTCACAGGGAACGGGAGAGCCAGGTTTCTTACCTGCTGTTGCTACCTGAGTGCCCTTTGGCCCTATTCACTGAACTTGAGGGAGGAGCCAGCACATCACAGCCACCTGGCAACAAGGACAAGGGGGCACGCCTATAACCTCAGTGACTTGGAGGTCTGAGGTAGGAGGATTGTAACTTTGAAGCCAGCTTCAGCAATTCAGTGAAGCCCCATCTCAAAATAAAAAATAAAGAGGACCAGATAGGCTGCTCAGTGGTAAAGTACTAGTACCAGACAAGCAAACCCATAGTCACTTTTTATTTTCTTTTTGGGCAGAAAGATACATCTACCAAAGTTTAAAATGAATACGGAATTTTGACTCCAAAGGATTAGCAGGTTTGGGCAAGTTTGGAGTACCCATGGTGGAATTAGAACACGACGGGATGGCACTCAGCCTGAAGGCCACTTTTCCTGCCCAGCCTCTCTCCCTTCTGCCATGTGTCCTTGTCCCAACAACCTGTGTTTACCTCTCTCATGATCTTTGTTACCTATGTAGTAAACATGTCCTGCGCATTAGACCCTGAGCTTCTGTGGGCATGAACGTGCCTTGTACTTCGGGGTCCCCAGACAGAGGGACCTTGCAGTCACAGACAGTAAGGAGCCCATAGGTTGGAAACAGGTCCAGGATAGACTCTACTGGGGGATGTTGAATGGCTGTGCAGAAGTTCTTCCCAGGGATCCTATGTTGGGTCCTTGGCTTCTGTCATGGGGTATCTCCTAGCTTATCCAGTGTTGTAGTTTAGTTATCAGATGTCCCCAAAAGCTCACATGTGAGACAATGTAAGAACATTCAGAGGTGAAATGATTGGGTGAGGAGAAATTTAACCTAATCAGT